TTCCGAGTCAGGACAGTTCATGTTTCAAAGCAAGTAAAGAGGAATACCAGTCCTGATAATCTCACTAAAAGCATCTTTCATATCAAAATTAAACAATTTGATTTAAGAAGTAAATATACAGCATATAAAGGTAATGAATGGACCTCACTCTTAGAACCATTTGAAAAACTATTATACGATGAGAGCAAAAATCACGCTAGTAATATTTTCAGTTATTAACGCAATTATTTCTCCGACTAGGATTTATTCCCATGAATTTGGCTTGTTTACATTTTGGAATTTACACAAAACAAACAGGGAAATAAAACCTGAAAATATTACTTGTAGACATTAGGTATTTTGGGAGGGGGCAGGCAAGACGAAAAATTAGCAACGCCTTCGCCGGGAATCGAACTACGGACCTCTGGAATACGCGCCCAGCGTGCAGATCACTACACCCCGTACCTTATATATTACGTAGAAATACCTTATATATTCGCCCTTTTAAAGGGAGACTGGGGTTTTTGTAGGACCCAATCGCCAAATCCTTTAGTTCGAGCGCCAATGTAGAGACTTTAGGTATTTTTTTTTGTGGGGGGGGGAGAAGCAGGCAGGATGAAAAATTAACGACGCCTTCGCCGGGAATCGAACCACGGGCCACTGGAATACGCGCCCAGCGGGCAGACCACCACACCACGAAGGCATGCATGCTAGGAAAGTGGGAGAAATACCTTATATACCAGGGGTGGCCAACTTGCGGCTCTTTGAAGGATTATTTGTGGCTCTCGATGAATGTACCCCAGTTCCCTTGCATGGTTTGTTATATTTAAAAAAGTAGGATCGTTCGTCTGTGTTTCAAAATTCTTTTAAAAACAGACAACCGTATGAAAGACTAATTGCAACGTTGTACCCAATTTCATTCGACACCTCTTTTTTTTTTAATCATTTGAAATTAACATATTCAGGTGATTTCCTTTCCATATAATGAACCCAAAAGCATCTTGACAATTAAAGTATAGAGATGCAAAAGACAAGCTCTTTAATTAAAATAATCCTGCCGATTGCTGAATTTGGAATTTGTACCAGAATCGAATATCCTGATTAAAAAAGATGCTTGTCGAATGTTTCAATATTCGGACAACGTACTTACGTGAATCATTTATTCCACTTTAAAATTCTGAAACCCAACACCGATAGTAAACAACAGCATCTCGAATTAGGCAGTTTCGTCACAATAGTCACCAAATTTAAAATAATTTCAAAAAGTAAAATGCATAAGTTTAATTTTTAATATTTACATTCAAGCCATATTTTATACTTTATTTATCGTTTCAATAATATAATTTCTGTAAAATTTAATTACCTTTTTTGCATACCTTTTAAACACGTATTTAATTGCGGCTCGCGAAAAATTTCAAATTTTGAAAAACGGCTCGGACTATCAAGGAGCTTGGCCACCCCTGTTATATACTGTTTTACACTTATCAGGAGATAAAAGCTCAGAGGAAGTTTCACGATCTTAAAATATTAAGCAGCACATTCCAAGGAACGTAAACGATTTATGAGTCTATATAATGGATGGCTTGTCCAAGCTAACCCGTACTGTGTTTTGCTTTTTGTAGTATTAATCTCAAACATTATTGCCTTTAACAAAAGTCTGTAAAAATAAGAAGATAGTTTATGAAAGCTGTAGAAAATTCAGAAACATCAAATAAATATTTTCAAACCTAGAATATAACGCTTGCCTAATAGGACATTCTAGAACGGCCCTTTTGTTGAAAGTGGATTGTGAGCTTTTACTATGAAAAGGACTTTGCGGATATTGTATTGTCCTACTTATTTAATTTCACCTCATTTTATTTTTATATTGACGTCCTGCCTTCGTGTTTTCTGATTCATTTTTTCTTTCATGTTGTTAGGTAAGATTCGGAAACCTTCTATAAATGTTTAATAAATATTTATAAAATGATTTCTGTTTAGTAATTTTATTTCGATGAGCGCAGAAAGGATATATGTCTGCTTCTTCAAATTAAAAATTTTTTATGACTTGAATAATAAGTTCAGGTTATAAGTCAATACTTCAAGGAATGTACAGTTAGTATAGCTATTGGCAGAGCCGTGCCTACATATTTTTTCACCTGAGGCAAAGCGGTAAATGTGCGTCCATGCCTACAATGCAAGATTATTTATTTAGCTATTTGTGTATGTGTTGTGTGTGTGAGGGGAAGAATAAATAAATAATACTAAATGATGTTTGAAAACATAACATTATACAAACACGCGCAATATATTTATAGATAGATACTTATCATACAATCAATAATTTTTCCAAAATCTATTTGATTACTTAATTGATGTTCTATAGAGAAAATGGCCATGTTTTTCTTGTCCTAGTAAAGATCTGCTATAGTTTTTTATTATTTTGAGTTTGCTAAAGCTTCTTTCGCCACTAGCTATAGTAACTGGCAACGTTAAAAAAATTCTTAACGATACTTCCAAATTCGGATAGAACTGAACTAAGGTATAATCGTGAATTATTTTTAAAAGTTCTAAGCTTGTAGCTGCTTTTGTGTCCGTAATTATTGAAATAGTATGGTTTTTAAAACTAGATATTTCTGACTCAATTTCTTCGGCGTTCATATTATTCGGTCATTTAAGTTCTAAGCTGCTGCCTTTAAATTACTTTAAAAATCAGATGAGATTTCATTTAACTTTTCGTATCGCCATTTCAATTATGAAATTAAAACGTACAGCACTTCAGTTTCTGTAAAAATATATTTTTCTCACAAAGTACGATTTATATCAATTGATTCCTCATAATTTGGTTTATTAACTTTGCGTTTCTCTTCAAATTCTGACGATATATTCATCTCTAAAGCTGAAGTTTTACACTTTTCAAAAATGCATTGAGAAATATTTTCTCTCATTTCCTGTAATGAAAGACATAGTCCCTCTATTAAGCGTGCAGCTTTATAGACAGTTATAGTTTTTGACTGCAAGGTTTTATATACATACGGTGATTGTACACCATATGTTTCGCATCATGAGCAACTGTGTCCGATTATTAGATACGTGTACATAAAAGACGAATCCATATTTATTGAAGAAAGCTTTATAGATTTTATGGAAACAAAAGAGAAAACTGGTAGTGGTTTAGCAAATGAAATTATTTATAAATTAGAAAAGGATGGCCTAGACATTCAAAATGCTCGAGGACAAGATTATGATAACGAGGCCAATATGGCTGGATTGAACAAAGGCGTGCAAGCCATTATTTGCCAAAGAAATGATCAAGCTACATATGTGCCTTGTTCGGCTCATAGTTTAAATTTAGTATGTAAAAATGTCGCTTGAACAAATTTAAGTATGTTAAAATTTTTGGCACTGTACAAATGATTTATAATTTTTTTTTGTATCTTCAACGAGTAGATGGGATGCACTTACGTCCGTTTTGAAAACAACATTAAAAGGTCATACGGATAAACGATGGTCATCAAGAGCAAATGCTGTTAAAGAATTAGATAAACAAATAACAGAAGTATATACGAGATTATTGAAAGATATGGCATTAAATCAGAAATCTTTGCAATAGGCTGAAAATAACAGCATTTTGAAATAAATAAATTAAAAATTTTTATGTTTGCTATCTGCGTGGAATTTAGTACTTCAAGAAATCGAAAAGGTAATTTAAAAATTTTAAATCTATATACTGAAATCTATATACCTATCTAGTGTATACTGAAAAGCTATTTCAATGCAAAACATGTGTATTAAGCAAAGATTCCATTGCTTAGGAAAACACTTCCATATTAAAGAGTACAAAGAAATATAGATGAAGGATGATAAATTATTTATTGGGTAAGAAACTATTGTTACGAAATGCCCAGCCGCGGTAAGATAGCTTCCCGTAAAATGGGTTTGGGTCTGTCAAAAAATGACAGGGTTGCCAGATTTGACGCAAAATCGCCCTTTTGCCCACATTTGGAGACAAAATTGGCGATATACCATAGACGGAGCGTGAACATTCTAGAAAGAATTCTTACCGGTTTAACGCAGAATGTTCTCGAAGGCAGGTCAAAAGGTATATAAACTCTGTCTGTGAGTAGCAGTTTATCATCAGTTTATCGTGAGTGCATCGAAGAATATCGTTGAGGGCATCATGAGAGTATCTTGAGGAGTACGTTGAGCTCCGAGAGCGATCGACTGAGTCAGGAGCTGTACTTTAGTGCTTTGCCGTTAAGCTGTCTTCACCGTTGTAACCTGAAGGCTATGTTTGATTGTAAACTATGACGATTGTAAACAATCTTTGGAAATTTCCTGTGAAATACTGGCGAATAAATTGTGTTTTGATTATTTATCAAGTGTTTACATCAATCACTCCAAAATCCACGAACCCGTAGAACGCAAGAATATCTTTATTATTATATCACAGCATTCAAAATTATAACATTTATTTTTGCATACACAATTCTGTGCTAATCTTCACATCTCCTTTGATTTTTCCCATACATTCACGCAATTATTGAAGACATATTTTGATTGCTCTTCACCAGGGTAGATGCATACGATAATAGCTGAAAAATAAATGCCAATCAATAAGTTTTAATGAAAGCTATTATGAAAGCTATATAATGAAATCATATTGTTACGAAATGTACAGGCGCGGTAAGATGGCTTCCCCGCAAAGCAGTTTTAGGGTTGCCATAAAATGAAGGAAAAGCAGGGGCCATTTGGCAGGGTTGCGCACATTTGGCGGCACAATTGCCGATATAACATGGACGGAGGGAGAACCTTCTGGAACGAATTCATACCGGTTTAGCCGGTTCCGGTTTGTGTTCTCGAACACAAACCAGAACACAAACCGAAAGTTATATAAACCCTCATGGTCCGCAGTCAGTTAGTGTGTGTGCCTCGTCAAGAGGGCGAGTGAGAGTGCCTCGTAAAGTGCGAGAGAGTTAGTATCGAATTGGTGTCTCGTCTAGCGAGTCAATCCCTGCGGAGTCGATCGAGTTGACAGCCGGGCAGCGAGTACCGAGTGGGTCGTCGAGTGCACCGAAAGAGTCTCATAGTCTATTACGGTTAGTGTATCGTCGAGAGAGCGTGTTGAGCTCCGGAAACGACTGAACTGAAGAGTCGGGAGCTGTGCTCTGTGTGCAGTCGAGTGCATCGCGAGTTGTAGCGTGGAGAGTCTCGAGAGTACGTGGAGTTCCGAGAACGACCAAGCAGAGTCGGGAGCTGTACTCTAGTGCTTTGCCGTGAAGCTGTCTCCACAATGATAGCCTGATAACCTGGAGGCTGTGTCGCTGATCGTGTCAGCGTGTTTATAGTAGTTCATCGACGACTGTTTTGGAGCTTTCCTGACAATACTGGCCAATAAAGTGTGTTTCGATACTTCATCCAGTAGTATTGTCATTATTCACTCCAAATCCTCACGAACCCTGTACGAATGTGAAGGAAGAAAAAAACGTAACAACTGGTGTCAGAAAAAAAAAGTAACAATATTATAAATATCTGTAAACAAAATCTTTGATAATGGCAAGTTGAGAAATTCGCCCATTGCTTTTTGGTTTATTCTCGTTTACTGTACATTTGAATACACATACAATATAAGAGTTTAAAAATTATTTTACTTGAAAATGAGCTTAAAACTAAAGTCCTATCTTTATTGAAATATATGATAAAGTTTGCTATTCGATTTCATAGATTAGACGGAAATTTTAGTATTTAATTTTACACTCCACTTTTACGGCGGGAATTGATAGTTACGCGGTGAAGAATAAAAGAGAAATATCATTTCGTCACTTGTAACAATGTTTATATGATAGATATGTGATATTAGTTTTTTGTGTAGCGGCCATTTGCGAAAGCAAAATTACTTACAGGGGCTGTAATGAATTGCAATAATAAATATTTGGTTATTCATCAAATGCAAATAGATGTATCAAATGTCTCTTTTAGTGTCGAATATATTATGATGTGGAATTTAAATCTGGATTCTTCGCAAATAGAAAAGAAGAAAAAATATTCGTTGATTTAAACTTTTAATTCGGAATCGTTTGACACTCATTTCGTAATAATAGTCTACAGTGGCCTGCCTCAGGCAACATTATACCTTATAAAAATCGAAAATAAAACTTTTAGGGAAAAGTTGTTCAGTGGAATATATCTATGGAAAATCGAGAAAAATCGCAGAATACATTAACCAAATGAGAGCAAGCCTATCGAGCAGCGACTCCAGAATCCTTTCGCAAGGGATTTTGAGATTTACAAGAAAATATGTTTTATTCTTTATATTTCAAAAACCGCTACGCTTGAGAAAAATTCTTAAAAATCTTGAGAATATAAAAAATATATTAGTTTTTCTTTCACTTCTGACAATTATGTTTACTCGTTTAAACGAATTTCAACCGCTCAGTATACGAATACTTTGATTATTTCAAATGAAATACAGAAGAATATAGAACGATTTGGAAATAACGACTTAAAATTTAAGGTCTTTAGAGAGAAACTTTTGATAGAATGAAGTGTGACTACGATTCGTCGAATAATCTGTAAAATCACATCACACGATCTTTAATTGCTTTAAAAAAAGCATGAATTTTATTACGAGGAGCAACCGAATTGGAATCTGGTCTAACTGGTAACATGCGTAATAATAAAATTGTGCGCAGAAATACTGCTGGAGAGTGTAGAATATTTCGCAAGTTTACCTATTTTATGCTATATATCTATTAATGTTAGAGTGCTTATCTTTCCACAGACTTTCAGCAGAAATACACACATATATATAGGCCACCAGATTTCGAAACGCTGTAAAATGCATTTTTTTAATTTTTTTTTTTTTTTTTTTTTTACCGAAAACCTATTTTTCTATCTCCAATGACAAAAGAAGTTTACTATTTTTAGAATTTTTATGCTCAGACACAGGATTCTTTCAATAGAGTAATAGGTTACTTGATGTTCTAGAAAATTTATTTGAACGAAACATTTCAGACTCTGAAAAATAGTTCTAGAAAATTTATTTGAACAAAAAATTTCAGTAACTGATATATAAGTATGTACTATTATTTTTTACAATATAATTAAATGATCAAATGAAAAACGAATATGAAATAACTTTTCTGTTCATATTTTAAGAAATTTTTCTGTTTTATTCACTCTCTTCTTTATTAAAATACATCTTTTAACATGTTTTCTTTTTTAGCCCAAAGGGGCGGTAACGCAGAAGGGCTGTGAGCCTCAAAATGGCAGTTTATGCCTTTTCACTATAAACGGCAAATCACTTTTTTAATTGCTGCCACCAAAATATTATTGCTTTGTATTATTGTATTTAAAGAAATTAAATAATGAAGAATCTGCATGAATATACTTGTACCTATGTTTCTAGCATTGTGAAGAAGCGACAGTACCTAGAACTATCAAACTTTAATAACCTAATCCTCCAACCTGAACATGAGCACCTGGACGCCCGAATTTTGAATTTCAAATTGTTTTATTATCCAATTCATATTTTGTAAAACTTAACGAATTTTTCATCAACAACCTCAACGATTTCAATGCGAGCAATAAAAACACTACAAAAAAAAAAAAAACCCTCCAGTGCGCCAGACTGTTTATCGGGAATTCTAAAGACAGGATAATTTTAAGTATTTTGTGATACTGCTGTTTAACTGAGTTTTAAGTGCTTTAAGTGTGAAGAACATGATATTTAATAAATAAAGGTAACGCACAAAACGTTAAAAAACGCTTCTTTGGGTGTAATATAAAATCTAAAAGTTTCAGATTTTATTAAAGAATTTTTTTATTTCATATTTCATATTTGGTAAACATTTAACGAATTTTTGATTAATAAACTCAACGATTTCGAAGCGAGCAGTGGCAACTCTACGAAAAGAAATTTTTATCTCCAGCGCGCGAGAATATGTACGGAAATTCTAAAGATATACTGTTTTTAAATATTTAGTGATATTGCAACTGAATTGAATTTTATGTGGTTTAAGGGCGAAGAACTGATATTTAATAAATAAAGATAACACACAAAACGTTAAAAAAATTCCTTTGGGCCAAATATAAAATCTGAAACCTTTCGGATTTTATATATATACATATATTTCTTTTTTATCTCGATATTTTTGCGAATTTCAGAAAGGAAATCTCGAATCTTGTGAAATAAATTAATAATTAATTCTCGAACCTCAGCAACGTGTAAAATGAATGTGATTATAAAACGCATCAGGTAGGTTTATGGATTTAATAAAAACTACTTATTTTTACTGTAATGCTGAAATAGATCTCAGAATTGTAGATTTTTAGGTTAGCCCTCTGTTTAAATACACTGAACATGTACCAAAGATTAATTTATATAGGGTATAAAAGATTTTTCTATGATACAGTACAGTGAATGTTTCAAATCAAGTTTTGAAAGAAATCGAAGCTTTTGCATTCAAGAAGATGAACCCGAGAACAAGTAAATGCTAATAAAATAATAAAAATAATATCATTGTTTTAGGCTTTTCGGGTTCAGCTTCTCGCTTTTGAAGACAAAAATATTATGTTTCAGAAACGTTTTTGGGTATTTGTATGCACTAAACACAGTAAAAGTTTTGCAACGAAGAATTACTTTTATTACAAAGCTTCTGTCATGTCTGGGACTAGCGGAAATTCATTGATTTGCATAGAGTATTTTCTTACCAGACACCTCTTAATACCTACCTGCTGAAAGCGGGCATCTATTTTGGAGCGTGGGCTGATTGGTAATCATCAATGTTGAAAAATAAGACTTTGCTTTTATTAAGGGTTATTATAATATTCACTAAAATTCTGCGCCTTACATAAACCATTTTTAACTTTCATTAGCTTCTTTCTGTTCTCAAAAAGCGAGATGCATTTACTTAATCCTAACTCCAAAGTCTCTTGTAAAACTACAGTGCACACATTCTAAGATGATCACCAGTCGTTCCATATGATTTTGATCTTCTTTGTAGGCGATTTTCTAAGAAGTGCTCAGTTATAGTGTTTTATGTTAATTAACTCAGTTATCTTCTTTTTCTGTCCATACTATATTAAGACTTTCGTCAATATCCACCAGGATGTAAATTAATTAATGGATATAAGCACAGATTTCTTTTGTTTAGAAGGAAGTCTTTGGCAGCTATCGCTGACCAGTTCCTCTGTTAGACTTCTGTGTTGCTGAATTCATTTATTAGCTGTAACTTCATGTGGCCTTCATGAATATCTTAAGCCGAGGAAAAAGTTATTTAGGCACGTGCTACTTTGTATTTAGCATTTTAATATGGCTGGAACATTTGTTTCCCTCAAGTAGAGGCTCATATTTCTGTTACTATGTAGTTTATGTAAGCGCCAAGCCTGACATGTAAATAAAAATTTATTTTAAACCTTTTTACTGGCTTACCGCAGTGCAGCTTTTGTGTCGTATCGTATCTTCTTCATCTCCATCGCCAAGTTGACTCGCTCTCGAGCAAAGTTGTGCATCACTTCAAACCGGGCCTGGAGATCTTGAGTGTATTCCTCGGGCGATGAAGGCGCATCCGGAGGGCGACAAAAGAAAAGATTA